GATCACCAGTTTTCTTGCTGATCGGGGCATCAAGGTCGTAGTAGACGGGTGTATGCTTTTATTAGTCATTATTAGGGAAATGCTGCTACCCAGCTCCTGATTTGTTATCCTCTGTCGCCTCTTACGACACCCACGTGACGATATGGTGTAGTGAGTTTTTTACACCGCCGATACACGGTAAAAAAATCAAGCCGCTGAACACAAATTTCTCAGACTGTTGGTAGAAAGCAGCAGGTACAGCCATTAATTGCTCTCCCGTTATAGGTTACGCCTGCACTAATTTACCAGATCATCGTCTTGAGTATTGGGTAAATTTTGGAAAAATATACAGAACCGATTTCTTGAAGAGCTTATAGTCGATGTAAATGAATATTATACGTAAAATAAAAAAGGACAACGAAAAGCAGTATCAAAAGTGTGAAAGGTTATACACCGCCGAATTACTTTGCCAAAAAATTTAAATATTCAGATTGATAAATATATTTCATAAAAATGCAATAGTAGGTTTATAATTAGATCGATTATTATATTGCACCAAAACTTTAAAAAAAACTTTATATTTCCCTCTACAATATGACGCTAGTACCAAATTAAGCATCCAGTACATATCTGATACGCTTAAATTGAATCGCCTTCGAGTTTGATTGAGGACTGGTCACGAAATCGACACTTAATATAGAAACAAATTAATTAAACACTATTCGACAGCTGCTACATGTCTACTGGAAATAATTGTTACGCAACTTAAAATTTTTAAAATTTTACTAACTTACATCGAGTGTTATATTGTAATAATTATAATTATTTAATGTACAAATAAGTCATAAAATATAAAAAAAACACAAATTAAAATAGTTCTTACACAAGCACTTTTCCGTATAGTATCGTAATTTGATTTTTATAATATTATTATTATATTCATATACAACACGTAACATAATTAACGCATTTTGAGAAAGTAGTTTGTTCAGAATCGTATACTGAATCGATTCCTATAATTTTTAATATATGTAATTTTTTAACACAAAAATAATTAGAACTACGTAAATTACAGTCCCACTAAATCTGTACAGTCAAAACAAACTGAAATGGACCGTAACTTAAGGCAATAAGACTTTTAAGAGAGCAGTTTTATTTGTATTATTACTAATTCTATTACTCAATAAAAATAAAGAAAAATGAACTTAATTTCAAGGACATTAAAGTCTTTGCATTCGTGGATTTGTACTGTGACTACAACATTCTTCCGGAATTTGTATAACTAATTTGATAAATAATCAGTGCATAAAAATGTTTAACTAAAAATTCAGTGTATGTATTATGATTATAACATAATATACTAATTGGGGTGTCTGAGGGTGTGCGTTAATTACGTTACATATTGTATACAATTCACGGGCGTATTTTAATTAGATAATATATATTTTATTAGTGTTTAACAACTTTATATAATCTATTAATTTCTTCTTCATCATCAACCAGTAAAGTTCACGGAATGGAAGAGTCTCATGTCAATTCCATCTTTGATGTTATTAGCAGGCTGATTATTATAATATAAGTGGTTTTATTGCATTAAATTACCTGTTATAAGAAAAAAAAACTATTAAATTTACTAGGTAACACAATCACATTAACTATTATTAAAATAATAAACGAACTTTAGGGTGTAATACACATTATTATGTATTATTAATTAATTTATGTATATTTTTTAAATATTTTATTTCAGTCCAACCAGATGACATTATCTATAAATCCCACACAACAGATAAAAATGCTACCCTGCCTGTACGGGGTATGAGGCCTTGGCGAATGCTGATTTCAAATTTCAGCCTTGTCGTTTGCTATTGCTATTGAGAGAGCATCGGCGTCCAACAACACGAGACGTTAAGAACAGGAAAATGCATAAAGTAATTCTTGTCATCTGGTACATTAAAAAAAGGCTATATCAAATTGATATGTCTGCGGAATCAGTTCCGAAGATAAAAATATCAGAAAGTTAAAAAGAAGAAGCCAGTTATATTGTGTTTTTAAAAGAGATCGACTCTATTTGAATAGTGTACATAACTAAAAATGTAAAAATTATTTAAAGCAGTAGAAATTAGTTTGCTTAAAATATAAGAAAAGAACAAGCAGAATTCTAAAATCATAAACGGTTATCGTTACTCTAACAGGCTGATAAAAGTCTGACATCGACGTCCTTTATAGTGGTATCCCCTAGGTGGGATATTCACCATGGTACCCCGGTTGGCAGGTGGGTTTGCAACCGTAGTCATTTTATTTTTACTGGTTCTTAGAAAGACTCTGCTACCCATCTCCTGGGTTCCTTCGCTCAGTCGGCGCATACAACACTACGCGGAAAAAAATAATGCCCACTATCCCATATCATCCCGTGGTTGTCGTTTTTATAAACGCTTTGGCTTATATCTGTAGGACAAACTTCTAAATTAAACGTAATGAGAAACTTTTTAAATAAACATATGAAGATTATTGTAATGGTACAGAGACCGTGTGGTAGCAAACACTATGCGGCTGTAGTTTGTGAGATACTACTGTAATAGTTCCATTAAAATCTAAAATCATATCATAAAGTCATTCTACAGACTTATTACATCTTTAAATGTAATAGATCTCTAGAAAAGTCGTGTCTGTATTTGTAATTCTAATATTTCCTGAGAAAAGCAAGTTCATGGGACTAAATATAGAACACTGAAGCCAAATTAGTGGTTTTTAGAATTTTAGAACGTTAGTCCACCTGTCTACTTGACAGATTTCCATGTAATTTGGTATGTTACGGAACTTTAAAAAGGAGTGTTATATTTTTTCCTTTGTTTAAAAATAAATAATGTTAGTTAATCTACGATTATATAAATGATAAGGGATGTAACGTAGTGTTCGTTCCAATGTGCACAGTATAAAGTGTTTTAGTCTCGTTAGCTTACTAATACGTTGGGCTATTTTGGTTACTCTGGTTCTACATATCCCTCTCCATAACTTGCCGAGCGACCTGGAACTTCCTCATAAATATAATAATAATTAATGGCTTAAATAATTATGTTTACAAAATGCTTAGATCATTTTGACTTTCATTTATTTACTTTTAATAGTGTATCTGACATCTATCAAACATGAAAATTGAGATGATTTTTAGTTTAATTACATAATAATCTATAAGTAAATAAACTGATTAAAACGGGTCTGTTATTGTAAAATTCTAATTATACTTATAGTTAAATTAAGAGGTTTTTATAGATATAGCTTTATAGTATTCTTTTGCACCACTTATTCTTATAATAACTGAAAAAATTTAATTAAATAATATTACTAATTACTTATTTGTCTCGCATCAAAAGTTGTGACACTTAAATGTGCTGATAATTACCACCGGTCCAGTACAGTAAATTAAAAATTTTGTACCCAATTTTTTTGTGATAAAGAGAGAGACTCTGTATTGAATATGTTCGATGTCTATCGACGTAGCAGTAATTTCACGAAGTGTTTTTGGTATATGTATGCAAGTTGTTCTATGTTGTAAAATTAAGTACACTGTAAGATTGTTAACTCCATTTGCAGTCCACAATCGAGGAATAGCTTTTATTCTATTTTTATGAATTTTATTTTAACAAATACGAGAGCCGTTTAGCTCACCGTAAGATTTCATTGCACGAAAGCAAAAGGTGTACGATTCCCACGAGGAACAATAAAACTGTTATAGGAGATTTACAATGTTGATCTAACACATAAAAGAGAGTACCACAAAGTATCGGAGACTATCTATCGGAGAAGTTAAGAAGCCTTGGATAAGTCCAAGGCCTTCCATTGTGTTCACCATGAAACATCACTAATTTTTACAACTTTATTAATTTTCGAGATAAAACAAACAGTTACTAAAATATGAATAAGAAAACAATGCTGTATCTAAATTAGAAAATGGGTTTGACCTTAATATTTTGCGCTTAAATAGCACTAAAATTAAATGTATGAAATTTATAACACTAAATGTCAAATATCTAAATACCAAAGTAATTTTAAAGAGGAGAGGAACTGAGTCTTGTCGATAACACCATTTTTCTTGAAACCTCTTTACTACACACTTTACTATGCACTTAAACGGTAGTGTTGTATATGAAAACAGCAGGCTTAGTTCTGCAGCATATGCAGTAAAAAAGATTAGAAATTTTACCAGTATTGAAAGAGCTACACTAGTTTACTTTGGTATAATGTAGTATAAGTATTTTGCTAGGACACTAAAATTATATCTGTTTTACGGAAGAGGGCCATAAGAACAATCTCAGATTTAAAACCTATAGTCGCGCAGACAAAAATTTAAGAAAATTAATATATTAACATTGGCTACTCAAAACGTTTATGAAAATGTTATGTACCTACTTACACAAAATAAAATTAGTTTCACAAAAATAGGTGATATTCATTCTGTAAATATTTGGAACAGGCACAAGCTAGTCTGTAGTACCGGTTACTAGATTCCACTGCGTCAGTAGGGTAGACCGAGGCGAATCGGATCACAGGGCGAATCGGATCAAAATAAGAAATCTGTTGATAATTCAAATATCGCATTCACATAGAACGCACTCAACCGGCGTTTTGCGTATCTCCTCTCACCCCGCACCTCCCGACATAGGCAGTATTTCGATCGCACTTGTGAATCAGTGGCGACGCCGCTAGTCAGCGACTCGGTCGTTTGTGTGTGTCGCAATTTTGGCGCTCATCTAAGGTACGTACTTACGATTTCTTTGTGTCATATTGCGGATTTGTGTTATAACTCAACTATATTGGTTTATATTGTTAAGCAAGGTGTCTATATTAGAGAACCAATTCGCTTTTAAGTATGATCTTAGAGGTTAACGTCTAAAATATTTATTTCAAAAGTCTTGATTATGGGGCTAATCGGATCATATCGTCAGGGGCGAATCGGATCACACTTTTAAACTGATTTATGACATGTTTGAAGTTATTGATTTATATTTATTTCATTGTAGATGGTTCGCACGTACAGAAGAAAGACTGATGCCGAAGAATGGTCTCAAAAAAAAATGAAAGAGGCTGTAAATAAAGTCCAGAACAAAGAGTTGACCTTACGTAAGGCTGCTGAGATTTTTGCAGTACCGTTCACGAGCTTACAGAGAAGAGTTACTTTATCCAGGGGTATTATTAAGCGTCGAGGTGGACAGCCAGCTTTAGATGAGAACGCAGAAAAGAAGTTAGCTGACCGGCTATTGCACTTGGCAAGTCGTGGCTTCGGAATTACACCCAAAGCGGTACGTAAGTACGCGTTTGAATTTGCAGAACGTCAAAACATAAAACACAAATTTGACAGAAATGCTGGAATGGCTGGCCAGGACTGGTTTCATCGCTTCATGCAAAGAAATAAAAAATTAACTATTCGGAAGCCGGAGGGTCTGTCAAGAGCAAGGTGTGATGGTATGAAGAAGGAAAAAGTAGCAGAATTCTTTAATACTTTGGAAACAGTAGTAGATAACAACAATTTAAGAGGAAAACCTGAATGTGTATACAATGTTGATGAAACGGGTATGCCGCTTAGTAACCGCCCACCCAACATTATAGCCCAAAAAGGTGCTAAAAATGTTGTCGGCATGACCAGTGTTGAACGAGGTGAAAATGTAACCGTTCTAGCCTGTATGAATGCAGCAGGACAGTACATACCTCCATTTGTTCTATTCAAAGGTGTGCGTAAACGTGACGATTTTCTCCTAGGTATGCCACCTGGTACTGAAGTTGCCATGACAGAAAACGGCTGGGTCACCGAAGAAGCTTTTAAGTTGTGGCTGCAACATTTCAATCGCTACCGGACCCCAGGAAAAGTAGTTCTAATTTTGGATGGGCATGCGTCTCACACCAGCTACTCAGTGGTAGACTTGTGTGACTCTTTAGAAATTGAACTTGTACTTCTTCCTCCACACACATCACATGCCCTGCAACCGCTCGATGTATCGTTTTTCAAACCGCTCAAAACCTATTATCACCAACAAGCTACAGCATGGCAACATTCACATCCTAATCAAGGAATCACAAAAGTCGCTTTCGGAGCACTTTTCCAACAGGGCTTGGAATCAGGCTGCCACTGTTAGGAATGCTACAAAAGGCTTCGAAAAGACTGGAATATTTCCACTAAACGCCAATGCAATACCTGACCACAAGTTCATCGGTGATCAAGAGTCGGACATTGTAGAGTCCCAAGTCCAGTCCCCAAGTTCCCAAAAAATGCAGCTACACGTGCAAGCCACAAATACAAAACCACTTGATAATATAGTGCCATCCACAAGTTCACAACAATCTGACGAAGCCCAGCCTCCCACCTGTGCAGAAATAATTAAAGAAATTCTTCCATCACCTTTAAAGTCACCAATTGCTTCTAAAAGAATTCGTAAAGTTTCAAAACTGGTCTTGTATTTAACATCACCTCAGAATAAGACTACTCTTCTCGAAAAAGAAGCAAAGAAGAAATTTAAGGTAGACAATAAAACCAAGGAAAATAAGGAAAAGGCTGTGGGCAAAGAAAATACTATGAAGAAAATGAAGAATAAAGCAAAGCTTGCGATAAAAATTAAGAGTTCATCTCCAAAACATAGAGAGTGGCACTGCATTTACTGTTCCGAAATATTCGTTCATCCACCATCAGAGGATTGGATTCAGTGCAATGCCTGCGAAGAATGGTGCCACGAAAAATGTGCTGATATGGGGGAGGAAAAAGGACCATATATATGTGAATTATGTGCCGATAATTAAAATTGATCTCATTATTAATTTTTTACTGATTCCAAAGCTATAGTCATAAGAAACTTAAAATTTTGTTACCTACATGTGTACGATCCGATTCACCCCGAAAATTGGGGCGATTCGGATATTTTTCTTTTTTTAGTTTTTAATAGCTAATTAAGAGAATATTATTTAATATTATTTATTATTTATTATTATTTACTTTATTGGAGACAAAACAGAAACAAAAGATATGAAAGAAAAATATACAAGTAAAATAAGACAATGGTAATTACAATTGTTTCCTATAAGCTGTCTCACTAAGAACATACATAATATTTATATTATGAAGCAGGTCGTAATTGGTATCGTCTGCACAACAAGCAGGGTAACAAGTCTGTACTTAAATAAAAAAGAAAACAATCATCTGAAAACAATCATCTAACATGTACAATAATAAATACTAAATATCCTTATATATCTAATTCATAATTGCTACTAAAGTACTTTTTAATTTAGTTTTAAAAGCTGAACGGGAGATAGAGAAAATATCGATGTCGTTAAGCATTTTATTGTGGAGGACACACATTCTGTGTACTGGTGCTCTTTTACCAATGTTGGTCCTGGTTTTTGGTATATGAAATAAATTTTTTGATCGTGTGTTTTTGGGTGGTATTCGAAACTTTACCTCGGATAATAACTGTGAACATTTAATCTCACCAACACAGATATTCCTAAAAGTAGTGGCGTCGATTAAAGTGCGTCGGTCTTTTAATGACAGTATTTGATATTTTGTTAAGAGATTTTCATAGGAAACGCGAGGTGAATGCATTCGATAGTTAACAATACGTAAGAATTTCTTTTGGACCTTTTCTATTTTATCTTCATAAACTGAGTAGAATGGATTCCAAACGGGGGACACATATTCTAGATGAGATCTAACTAATGACTGATAAAGGCAGGTAAGAGTATCTTTGTGTTTAAATGATTTTGTTATACGTGTAACGAAGCCTAGCATTCGGTAAGATTTATTCAATATTTCCTCGATGTGCCTATCTAGTGTGAGTTTGGTATCTAAATATACTCCAAGATCACGTATACTAAATTCTGATACAATTTTGTGACCACCTAAGTAAAAGTCCGCGTGTACTACATTTTTGTTCGTATTATATGTTATGTGTTTGATTTTATTATAAGCCAAGAATAATTTATTAATTTTACAATAGTTTTCAAGTCTATCCAAATCGTTTTGTATTAATTTTATGTCGTCAGGTTTAGTAACGGCAGAGTATAATTTTAAGTCATCAGCGTATAATAAGAATTTACAATGGTCAAAGCAAGTTGAAATGTCATTAATAAATAGGATAAAGAGGAGTGGTCCCAGTATTGATCCCTGTGGAACGCCAGATGTTACTACAACGGGTAAGGAAATGTAGCCATTAAGCACTACCGACTGTATGCGGTTTTGTAAATAAGAAGCAAACCAACGTAGAAGAATACCTTTGATACCATTGTAGGAGATTTTTTTAAAAGTAGCAAGTGATCAACTTTGTCGAATGCTTTTTCGAAATCGGTGTATACAGTTTCAATCTGAGATTTATAGTCTAAACTATTAAAAATAAAGTTAGTAAAAACAAGAAGATTTGTCAGTGTAGACCTGCCATTAACAAAGCCGTGTTGTTCCTCTAATAATGTATTTTTCAAAATTGAATATATATGATCGTGAATAAGTTTCTCAAAAATTTTAGGAATAGCCGAAAGAATTGATATGGGACGGTAATTTTCTACGTTGTTCTTAGAACCTGATTTGTGAATAGGTGTAATGTATGCTTGTTTCCATTGAGTTGGAAATGTTCCAGTTTCCAAACATTTGTTAAAAATTATATTGAGCGGCATGCAAATTGTATTAGAAGTGTGTTTTAAAAACACTGGCTTTATTTTGTCAGGTCCAGCGCCTTTGTTTGGATCAATGTTTTTTAAAGCAGTGCAAACTTCCAACTGTGTGAAACGTATGTCATGTAAGTTTATTCCAGTAAAATTATCCTCTAAGTGTTGAGTTAATGTATATGCATTGTCTGACAACGGTTCAAATGCGGATTTAAAATGATGTGAAAACATTTCAGATATTATTTTTGGGTCGTCTGAAGTTTTGGTTCCCAGCTTCATTACTTGAGGATATCCCGTATTTGTTTCCTTTATATCTGAAGTATATTTCCAAAAGTATTTTATATTATCCTTTATTGAAGACTCAACGTTCTCTATATATTTATTGTAACATTTAATTAAGAAACGTAGCACGTTTTCTTAATAGGGAGAACTCTTGATAGTCACGTAACGAATTGTACGTTTTCCATCGTGCCCACATTTTAGATTTACGCCTTAGTGTATAAATTAAGCTATTAGAGAACCATTTAGGGAATCTATTGGTTTTAACTTTGATAAGTGGTACATAAGATTCAATAACATGCATAATTTTGTTATAAAATTTGTCAACTACAGTGTCTATACAAGAAGAACTGAGTTCAGAAACCCAATCAGTCTCTGATATAGCAGTATTAATTTGGTCATAGTTTGCTCTGTAAAAGTTTCGTTTTGTTTTCTGGTTGGTGGGCATATACTTGGATTGAGTTGTTTCATAAAAAATGTCCAGCGGAGGATGGTGAGGAACGGCTTTTAAGAGTGGATCATCAGAGATATTAACTGAACAATCAGGTGAGTTGCATAAAACAAGATCAAGAATTCTACTGTTTTCGTTTTTTAATGTATTTATTTGTTTCAAATTCATAAAGGCCATAATATGAGACAATAATTTAGCTGTATCAGTAACTGCATTAACAGGTCTCAAGGATGGACCATCAGATGACCATTCCAGGTAGGGTAAATTAAAGTCACCAGTAATAATGTAATGTGAGAATAATGCCTTTGAGTGAATGTCGTGAAGTGTATAAAAGTATTTATCATAGGTAGTAGTTTTAGACGCTGGTGGTATATAGCATGCACTCAATAATAAATTTGAATGTAGGAAATGAAGAAAAATAATTTCTAAATCGGTGGCCTCTAAGTCAAGTTTTCTAACAACATGGATCGATTTCTTAACAAGAATTAGCACCCCGCCACCGCCCTTTTTATTAAATAACATACAGTTCCGATCGCGTCGAAATATTATATAAGCATCAGTTTGAATTTCAGCATCCAAAATTGTATCCAACAGCCAGGTTTCAGTTAAAATTACAATATCGAAGTTACAAGTTAGTAAATTTAGTTTTAAGTCTGTAAGCTTAGTTTTTAAGCCTCCACAATTTTGATAGAATATAAGTAACTTATTAGAAGCCATCACGAGAAAGAAATGCAACCGATATAATTAAGTGTATTTATAAATTTGTTTGCTATAAAATTATGGATCTCGATCTCCCGCTGTATTGAGTATTGTAAACAACATACACAAAAACTTATAATAAAACTACTTAAATATGCTACTTTTGGAAAATTAATAAACAAGTAAACGTAATAAAATAGTCATATTTTACTTAAATCATTAGTACAACGGATGTGAATGACACGTGAATCGTCATTTTTCCGTAGCAAAATGCAACTGTTTTTGACCCACACAAATTTATATCCCTTCGACTTCGCCAGTTGTCGAGCGTTACTAAATAAAATTTTATTTTTTAGTGTCAGATGTTCGTTTATATAGAATCGTGTGTTTTGAGCTGCAGCAGCGGCACTGTTGGCAGAGCCAAACAACTGAGTAGTGGTGAGTGTGCGGCGCGAACGCGCCGCCGCTATCATATCATCACGCAGTCGTCGTGTGGTCAGCTGAAGTACAATGTTTTTTGGACGGTCGGTCGGTACCTTTGGAGCCACGCGATGAACAGATCTAATATCGCTTGCCTTGATATCGACGCCAATTAGTTTACCAACCTCTATAGATAAATGAATCAGGTTTTCAGCCCTTTTATCAGGAATGTTTTGTAATTCCACGTTGCAACTGCGAGAGGCTTGGTCGAGGTCATCAAACTTGGCACGTAAATTCTCCAAATCTGCGCGAAGCTCGTTGTTTTCCTGCATCAGGGTGACGTCAGGACTATGCGATGCCGTAAAGTTTTGCTGGAGTTCCTTTATGCGCTCCTCCCATGAATCAACACGTTTTTCCAGCCTATTAATATCTTGCGCAAAAGTTTTAGATACTTTTTGGATGGCTGAGTTTAAGTCCTCCTGCCACTGCTGGCGCAGACTGTCAAGTTTCGCATCCATATATTCAGTCAAGGCGTCGGTGTCGACGTTTAAAATAGACGTAGTAGCGCAATCTTTAAACTTAGGTGACACTGTCCCTCCTAACGTACCAGTGAGCCTCTTATTTTTACAGGGTGGGCATTTCCATTTGATTTTATTCATAGGGAGGATTTTTTTGAATTCAGTTTCAGATAAATCAGCACATTGATAATGCATGTACATATTACATCCCGTACATTTAATAACATCCCTTTCAGCAACATTTTTTTTACACTTAAAGCAATCCATTGTAGTGTAAACAACAATATCCAGCTATGTAGTCTCAAATGTAAGATTTATGCGCGGTAGAAACAGAAACATAAAACTACACCTATATCACTGTTGCTGTGTTAATAAGGTCGCGAGCAAAACGGCCCAAGCGCCGGTGATATAGCGGCGCATACGCGTTCCGTCCGAACACTTCACAAAACTCGATATTAATTTGTAATTATTTGATATAGTTTTAATTGCAGAATACTTTAACATTAACAAAATTTCACTGGCTTTAGTACACTTAATAAAGAACTGTTGACACGGTAAATGAGACTTAAGCACTCACTACAAACCCATTATTTTATTTAAATTAGACAGACGAAAAGAATAAGGTGTTACGCGATAGACTGCTACGATCGAACATATATATGTATAATTTAAGTTTTCAAATGTTTATTTCATAGCTGATTGTTACTTCTTACGTTTTTATCAATAAAAATAACATTATATAACACTTTAGTATGATTTGCTCAACCTCAAAGAAA